AGAGGGATCAAGATTTTTTTTTTTTTTTAATTTGTTAAAGTTTTATTTTATTAAATTTTGTGCCAGTATTTTTTTTTTTTTTTAAAATAGTCTTAAGCTCTAAGATGGTCTCAGTATTGCAATATTGTGTGTGTTTGTTTCTGTTATGCCAGCAGAGAGTTTTATCACAGTGAGGAAAAAGAAAGAAAAGAAAAAAAAAAACAAACCCCAAATTAGTTTATGTAGACCCCACTGGAGAAGTGTAGCGCTACGACTCGGCATCTCCGAATCGTATGTGAAGGAAAATTAACTCCAAACTGGCTCCTAGTGATGCTGGCTGGGTGTGCCGCTCTCGCTTCCAGTCCCACACGCTTTGCTCCGCCATTTGCTGATAAAGCTGGTTGAAATTTTCGCTTTTTTTGTTGCTGTTAAAAAAGGGGCCTTGTTGTACGGCTGCGTTTTGTGCCCGAAACCTGTCGAGATTTGCGGGGAAAATGTCTTTTTGCGTTTTCCAAATCACTTTTTTGCTCAAGAAACACTTCGGTGCTTTCAGAAAGTTTGGGTTGGTTTTTTTTTTGGAGGGGAAAGGGGAGAAATTCCCACGTTTTGAATGTGGTAAATGGAAAATATAGAAGTCGACTGGGGGGAAAGAAACCAGGAAAAAAGTTGAAAAACCAAAGGGAAATGTTTTTTCCTTCCTGTTTCGACCAGCTCTGTCTTTATTGCTGTATGTCTTAACCAGCCTGGGCACATGCAGAAAGGAAATTGTCCTTGCGAATGGGTTCTTTACTGCTCTTTGTAAGCCTGATCCTGCAAACCCTGTCAGGGTGTGATTAACATGAAGCATATGACCGGTGTTGCCGGGGTAGACGAGAGGTCTCATGTGCTTGCCCGAGGCGGTTGCGGGATCAGTCCCGGGGGGAGCTGCTCCGTCTGTCCTCCAAGCCTTTTGCAGCATGGTTTACGTTCAGAGGGGTAAATCCTGCTGCACCGAGCACTTCCCGGGATGCTCTGAGCAGACCGAGGCTGACGACTGCCTTCGGGGTGGGCTCGGTGTGAGTTAGAGGGTCAGGCGGTGAGCGTTTCCATATCCAGATACGACCCCGAAGCCGGATCCGTGTGGATCCGACTGCTGAAATGGGGTCTTTCGCCCCTGAGAGCCACTGGGCGTTTTCTTTTTAAAGACAGTATTACACATTTGAACAAAAACTACCTTCTTTTTGTGTTGTTTGTCTGTCCGTCGGTGTGTTTTAGGTAGTTGCGTTCATTACACATTTGAACGAAAACTACCTTCTTTTTGTGTTGTTTGTCCGTCGGTGTGTTTTAGGTAGTTGCGTTCATTACAGAGGCACTGTGAGATGGTAGTGGCGGGGCAAGGTGGGGAGAAGCTTTCCAGAGATGCTTGCTGGGCGATGCCTGCCTGATACAGGCTGACATATCGGGTCGGCAGGACAGGACTCTGGGTGCGAAGAGCCAAAATATTCGGGCACATAACGCCCCCTGCGCAGGGGCAGCGTTGGACGGGGAGCTCGACCCCAGGGCAAGGTGATGCTCAGAGGTGCTGGGCTCTCCTCCGCTTCCTCCGGAGCTGGGGGCACCCAGCACCTCTGTATCCCCGGTTGGTCATTTTGGGATGAGTCAGCCCCAAAACTGCTGTGTGCTTAAAAAAAGGTGATGGTGGAGGGGAAATGAGCAGGCCAAGAGGGAGCTCCAGCCAAGGGGGATGGAAGCAGATGGTGGTTTAGGTAAGGGAGGTTATTAGTTATGCTGTTAGCTCATGGGGCTGGGGCTGCGCATGGAAAGAAAAGGGTGGGATGGATGGAAAGGAAGGAAAAGGGGATGGAAGGAGGGTGGAAGGAGCATGCACCAAAGGAGGAAAGGGACGCTGCCCGCTGGGAGGTTAAACTTCAGCTCATCTCCTCAGGCAGACAGGGCAGATGGGAGAAGGCAGCTTGGCCGAGCTGGGGAGAGGAAAGGAAAGCATAGATATCGTGGACGAGGTCCCCCCACCGGCAAGGCACCGGGGTAGAGCTCTACCGCAGAGCCAAGGCTCGCCGCAGCCGCTGAGCGGGCTGAAAAGGGAGTCGAGCAAGATGTGACGGCACAGCAATGTGCAGGGGAGGAGTAGTCAAAGAGCATCCCAACAGGACACACCGTATGAGTTGGTTTTTTTAGGTATTCGGGGTTGCTGTCTCGCATGCAGCTGCAAAGCGCCCTTAGCTTACCCTTCGTGGGCCACTTCCAGCAGTGCTTTGAAAAATCCCCCTTACACCCTTAGAAAGGGTGCTGCCAGGAGGCCAGGCGCCCCATCTCCTGCCCTTGGCACCATGCCGTGCCCCAGGACATGTCTCCTGCTTTGCTTGGACGCTCCGCTGCAGCTGAAGTGCCTTTTTCAAGCAGAAAACGGGGACAAAATTTCTCTCCGACGGAAGGAACCGCAGGTTCGGGTACCAACCCCATCCTTCTGCCAGGCTAAATCCCTCATCCGCTCCGCCGTGCTTATTTTTTCCAGGTTTCCAAGCCGAACCTGTGTGTTCCCAATGATTTTGGGAAGACGGTCTAAAGGTTAGAAAGGGCGAATCGTGGAAAGCAGCTCTGTTTTTTGGAAGTAGCCCCCTGGCTGGAGCTTCTCCATCATTTCTCACGGCCGTTTGCAATCCCAGCTCGCAGCCTGTGTGCACGTGCAGCAGCAAAAGGGCAGTACAGTCCTAGGGACATCAGGTTCATAATTTTCTGTTTTCCTTTACTTCTTATTCCCAATCTAGAGACCATCCCGGAGAGGGCTGTGTGCTGTTTATACACTGGAAATTTGCAGATTTGTTTTTGTTTCTTTTTTTTTTTTTTCCCCTTTTTCTTTCTGCTTTTTAATTGCATGTTGACTTTTGGCGAGGGATGTGCTGGAACCCAAACCCTCTGACCTCCTATTCTTCGAGGCCACGAAAATTTGGTTAACCCACGCACACGTGCTGGACCAGAAGGATGGGTTTGAGAGGGACGATGGAGATCTGCCAGGGATGGGGCTCGCTCCTGTGCTGGTTTCTCTGCGTGGGGGCGAGCTTCACCCTCGGTAGATACACGTGGCTTTTGGAAACGGGGTAGTTTCGTCTTGTTTTGGAATGTCTCAGGTGCGTTCGGTAATTTTGGGATATTTTCTGTGTTCTGCTCGTGATCTGCTGTTCTCCGTGCAGGGGCATGTCCCCTTCGCCCCCGCCCCAGCAAAGCCTGAGCCCTACCTTGGGAGCTTAGCTCTTGCAAACAGCTTTCCAGGGCCTCGGCAGTCGATATTTGTGACCTCAGTAAAAGGAAAAAAAAAAAAAAAAAAAAGATGAAAAATGCAAGCACTTTTTCTGCTGCCTGTCTCTCTCCACCTCTGCGCGTAGGATGACCATAACCCATGGACACTCGTGTGTGTGCAAGTGTAGATCCATTTTATTTCCGCACGACCACCGTCCCGCTCCAGACGTGATCGTTCAGGTGGAGAAACGGCCAAACAGGGCAAAAAATAGAAGATGCTGTAAGATTTAACCTTCTCACGTCTTTCCAAACCAACTCCTCCTCCTCCAAAAAAAAAAAGGTCCCTGTAAGCACCGGTAAATTCAGATGCTGCGGGAAACGTCTCCATCTTCTGACTCTTGCTCTTCTGGAGGGGTTTTCTGCGAGGCTTTAGGGCTTGGTTGCTTGCTCCTCGTTAACGTCGCAAAATTCGGATGCCTTGACGTGCTCTGCTCTCTGGTAGGGTCTATATAACATCCGTGAGCTGTTGTCTACATTCCAAAGAGGTTTAAATAAATGATAAATCTATGTATACATCTATGTTATAATGGAATATCTCCAGGAATTTGCTGCCTCAGTAAAAAAAAAAAAAAAAAAAAAAAAAAAAAAAGTCTTTGTTTTGTTTTGTTTTGTTTTTACACATGGGATTTTTTTTTTAAGCTGATAAACATAGAAGAAGAAGAAAAAAAAAAAAGAGATTGTTATATTGTGCTGTTTGACTATTTTCCAACTTGTATTTTCATATAATTTATATTTTTTAAAAGTGGAAAAAAAATGTAAAAGCGAGATTAAAAAAAAAGGAAAAAGCAGGTGCTTTTTAAAAAAACTGAGCTGAGGTAGCTTAGAGATGTAGCGATGTGTGTGTGTGTCCGTGTGTTGTGTTTTGTTTTGTTTTGTTTTTTAAAGGATACAAAAAAAAGTCCCTGAGATGTAGCATGTGTGTGTGTGTCCGTGTGTTGTGTTTTGTTTTGTTTTGTTTTTTAAAGGATACAAAAAAAAGTCCCTCCTACATTGAATTCTTAAAGGAGGGGATTGGTTTTGTTTTAATTGCTGATGCTGGCACATCATTTTGCTGGAGAGTTTTTTATATACTGTAGCCTTATTTCATATCGTATTTTAAACCATGTGAAATTAAAAGAAGAATAATTCATAACCCTCAGTGTTGGTGTGCTTATTCGTTGCCTTTACTCTTTAAATTCGGGGAGCAACGTGGAAAAACAATGCAAAAACTTCGAAATCCCAGCAACTTCTATATTCTTTTTTCGTTATTAAACAAAACGGTGTGGTTATAGGAAATAAGGGTCTGGCTGGCATCGCAGCCTCTGGTCTCGGGGGGCTGGAGAAGGGAGATGCTGCACCCCGCCGGCTCCCTCTCGCTTTGGGAACATGGGTTGTCCTCTCCGGCTCCTCGGAGACCGTCACCACTCCGCATTGCTGTCCCAGGGGCAATTCCAGGGTTTCAAAACGGTCTTTCATCCTGAATCTTCACTAGGAGCTTGGGATATCTGTGGTTTACCACCCCAAACGACTTTTATAGTAGTATTTTCTTCAGCGGGCTCTTGTGAAATAGGTGTAGCCAACTCACAAAGCCCCGTGGCCACCAGCTCGCCTCCGCTGCAGCGTGAAGATGGTGCTGGGCACCCGCTTTCCTACTCGAGACCTCGGGCTGCGGTCCATCGCGAGGAGAAATCTGCCACTGGGCTCCTAATACATCAGATCGGACCATTGTGCTTCAGATCTTTGAAAAAAACATATATTTTTATGCCTTACGTTTTTCCCAGTGAGCCAGCGTAGGCTCGGGTATCCCCTCGTCCTCGTCAGGCCAGGAAGAAACCCGTGTTGTGCCTAATTGGACAGGGGTTTGACTGGAGCCCCTTAGCGTGTAGGTCGGGAAGCGCTGCTTAATAAGGCCAGCATCTCGGAGGGGTTCACGGTCCAGGAGCGGACGCTTATTCACAGGGCTGGTGAGTTTGTGTGATGGGAAATTCCCAGAGGAATTTCAGTCTCACAGTATCATTGACGCTTGTTTGCTTGAATCGGCATGAAGTGGATTAGACAAAGCGTTCAGAAACGTGCCGCTCAGATTTGTTGAATACCAAGAAGGGCGGAGGAGTCATTGGCGTAAAGAGGATGCAACGGATGAATCCAGGATAAGGAATATTTATAACAACTCCATTTATAGTAACTCGGCTTGCGGCCAGGCAGGAAGCAAGAAGTCCTGGGGAAGGACTGAAGGACGAGAGGTGGAGAACCGTGATGGTCCTCACTGCAGCCATAGCGTGGTCCCGGAATGCCTGTGGGACGCCCCTGTGTTTCGAAAGCTCAGCTAACCCCCGAGTTTAGTAACACCAGGGTCTGGCAGAGAGGCTGGGTGAGACCCCAAAACGGGGACAGCCCTGGGGACACCGGGCAGGCGAGCACCCAGCCTGCTCCATCCTTGGCTTGGAGACACGTAGCTCCAAGCAGGAGTGGAGCTCGCCTTTGCCACCAGCTGAGCCGCCGTGGGACCTTGATCTTGCTGTAGCTCTTTTCATCGCAGCTGGAGCCGCCGGGCCAGGCGGCGTGGCCTCGTGCTCGGCAGAGCCCGGCCGTCCTGGGTAAATAAACAGCAAGCGCGGCTCCTCTCCCATCCGCTGCTTTCAAGTCTCTCTGCAGCCGCTCCACGCCGGCGGCTTTTTGGTGGCGGGGAGCAGCTAAAAAGCAAAGGGGTGACCGTGCCCCGGCTCTTCGAGGGGGTTTTGCCCCCCTTGCAGAAGGGCTGTGCAAGCAGGGGAGCACGCAGCACTCTGCGAGCCCTTGCAAAACCTGAGGATGCTGTTGGTCCTTGCAAGTGAGAGGGAAGGAGAGGGATTAAAAACTGAAGGGGAAGCTGAGCCACAGGCACCCAGCATCCCTCGTCCCCACCCCAGCAATTGCAGACGATTGCTTTTAATGCTTGCACTAAAAATACCAGCTGGTGGCCTGCCGGGGGAAGCCCCCGCGCACCTGGGGTACCCGCTAGGGAAATGATGGCCAACAGTTAACGGCTAAAAACTGAAGGGGAAGCTGAGCCACAGGCACCCAGCATCCCTCGTCCCCACCCCAGAGCAATGGCACGGTTGCTTTTAATGCTTGCACTAAAAATACCAGCTGGTGGCCTGCCGGGGGAAGCCCCCGCGCACCTGGGGTACCCGCTAGGGAAATGATGGCCAGCAGTTAACGGCCCCGGCGGCCGAGCACCCCACCTCCCCGCTCCCCCAAAGGAAGCACCGGGGGGCGGCGGACGAAGCGAATGCTCCCCCCTTGATGCCCCTGCCCTGTCCCCCCACCTCCTTTTCCCATGCCAAGGCTCTGCGTGCCAGCATCAGGTGCAATAACCCGCTTAAGAAATTTGGGATGGGGAAGCGGAGTTTGGGGAGGGAGCCGGAGCTCTTCCTGCCAGAAAAGCGTCACGGCTGCAGCTCTGCACCCCCAAAAGCAGTCCCTGGCTGTTGCAGCAATGCATCCTGCAAGCAAGCTGTTAATAAGAGAGCACTGAAACTGAGCTTAAGAGGAAGGGGTTTGCTGGGAGGGATGAGCTCCCCAGCAGGAAAAACCTGCCTGTGCGGGGAATTGCACCTTTAGGAGGATTTTGCACGGCTTATTGACCCCAGGTGCTGTTGTGTGGCTGATCAGGCGCGTGATTTAAACAAAGCCAGAGCAGCAAGCAGGGTTTTTCCAGACTCTAGCATATATGCGTCCAGGGATGTATGCATCCAGCAGCGCAGTGGAGCAGGGGGCAGCGTATCCTCGGGGCCGGGGGGCTGGCGTCTGTGGGATGGAGGGGGGTTTGCACACTCGAAAGCAGCCGCGCGTGCCGAGAGCTGCTGCTCTAAATAGAGGCCAGAGAGCAAACGGGTCTTTTTCAGTTTGGTGTCTTGAAATGAGACATCTAAACTGGCGCTTGAGGGAAATAAAGAGAGATTGAAACAGGAACCGAAATTACTGAAGGCTAAACTGAGGGAAGGGCTCTCTAGAAATCTCTGAGATAGAACGAGAGAGGTGGAAGGAGGCGGTGAAAGAGGAGAAACGTGAATATAGGGGAAGGCAGCAGAAGGACGGAGAGGGAGAGGTGCGAGGAGGCAGACTTGCAGCGGCAAGACGATGAGCTTTGCTCCTTCCCTTGGTGATGTGGGGCATGCGCACACACGCAGATGCATGCACACCCTTGCACACACGTGCACACCCTTGCACACACGTGCACACCCTTGCACACACGCCGTTCATGGCCAAGTGCTTGCTGGGGACAACGAGGGCCTCACACCAGAACAAGTGGAGATTTAGGGCTGCTGGAAGGTATTTAGACACTTGGGCCCCAGTTACCCGCCCGGGGCTCACCGTGCCCCGGGGTGGTGCTGCCGCGGGTGGTGCCGGGGGTGCCAGGGCCGCCGTTCAGAGTCAGCACTTTCCGCTCCACGCGTTGTTTGCTTTCCACGGCTGGCTCCCTCCCACTGTGCCGAGGCCTCTGAACACCATCCAACAGCAACTTTCCGGCTCCTCCAGCGGCCTTTCCCCCGTGCCGGCGAGCGCTGCCGTTCCCTGGCCTTGCTTGAAAGCCGGCCCTACAATGAGCTATTGTGCCAGGCTGCTCCGGAGGGGAGGCAGCGGCCGGGGCCAAAACCCGGCTGCCGGGGGGGCCGTGTGCCTGCCAGCACCCAGCTGCCTCGTGGGGAGCCCAGGGCCAGGGACGCTCCCCAAAATGCTGCATCCCTCAGGTGGGGGATGCTCCCCAAGATGCTGCATCCCCCTCTTGCCTGCAGCATCCTTTTGGGGTGTGGGGTGGGAGCAGGACACTCGCAGCCCTGGCCACGCTAACCTGAGCTTATTTCTTCCTTAAGACAGCACTGTCTTTGCAAGGGGTAAAATTGGGATGCCCTAATACCCCCCAGCTTGAATTGCCCTTGATGGACCCAGAGTGAGGAGACCTGCTGCCTCCCACTCCGCACCCCCAGCCCGACTGTGCTGTTTCTTAGCTGCCTTCCTGCACCCCCCTCTCCTTCCCATCCCCTTCTCCTTATCCCCTCCCCGGCATCCCAAACCCACCATCTCCCACCGTCCCTCCTGCCCAGGGTAATCCCCAGCCCCCTCCCTCCCATCTCCTCCAGCTCCAGCTCCGGCCCTGTGGAAAAGGCATCGCAGGAACGGTGCCACGTATTTTCAGCTTCGATTAATGACATTTACCAGCTGGAAACGACGAGGCGAAGCCAGAGCCATGCAACACGTTGGCTCGGTGCAGACCCCCAGCGTGCCCGCCACAGACCACCGGCGAGCCCGGGGCCCCGAGCCCAAACCCAAGCAGCCCTGGGGCTCGCAGGGAGCTGGGTGCGGGCGGCTGCATGGGCTGGGAGGGATGGAGGGGAGGGAAAAGTGCTGCTGAGCTCAACCCCAGCAGAGGAAGGGGTTTCTTTCGGAGGGGGGAAATCATCCTTTCAGGAACTAGGCACTCCAAGGAAAATTAAAAATAAAAATCCCTACAATGAACAGCCAGGTTTTTCTTTGGGGTTTTTATGTTTCTCCCCTTCCCCATCCCGGTTGCTCCTGCAAAAATCCCAGCTGT